AAAAATCATCTATAAAATGAAGCCTAATAGTTGTCAATTGATAAGAAAAAATAACAGATTAAATTAAAACAAAATGACATCGACTGTGCAGTGCACAACAGAGACAAGTGAGAAGCATATATCAATGACAACCACTTATTGTATATACTGAAACATAGAAGGTGAAAAGTTTAATCTTAATATGGGTGAGGAAAAAGATAAGAGTTAGAAATGCAATTCATGAAAGTTTTAAGTAGTCAAATAATAAGATACATCATTTCTGTCTAGGTTTGCTTCATCTTTCTTAATCCAGGCATGACGATTTCACTCGTGAACTCTTAACAAGAAAATTTATTTGATGCACTACAATAAGTACTAATTACATAGATAGCACTGTAAAGTATCCTTGAAAATTCTCATGTCCACCTAAATTTTGTTTTCCGTTTGAGTCATGTGCGACCCCAATGAAAAGGAACCCAAAAGGTCAGATCAGTCGAACAATGGGCAAGAAAAGCAATCATCACGTACAAGGAGAAACATCAGACCAGGTTATCCTATCCCCAACAAACACACACTTGTGCCGAAAACATTGTTTGACAAAAAAATGAACGAGGTAGATCTTCAAATGTCTTCCTTCTAGTTCTTGGCTTCATAGCTGCTGCCTGCTGGAAAAAAGAGTAATTCAACATAGCTTGACGTAATTTTTTTTTTCTTTTATTTTTTTGGGATCAAAGAATAGCAAGAGTTTACAGATGCTATCGACCCTGCCAACCAGGGATTGATGAAATAATTGAATTTGAACTGCTCTCTAGCCTGCACAATGATAAATTGACGGTATCAGTTGGAATGTGTGAAATTGTGCTCTGCCTTTTCTTCTGCTTTTTTTCCTCCCTTATTTCTTTCTTATGAATAATTGCAAAGACTACCTTCATATTTAGCTGGCTAGGTGATAAAAAAAAAAAATCTCTATTCTGGTTTGCAATTGCACATTTCTACGCATGTTTCTACATTATAAACTGGACCTATCTATGCATGGGGTAACAATACAAGCACTACCCCCAGGAGTTTATTTATAGCTTTTGAAGATAAATCGATAATTTTCTTCTTCAGATTTTCTTTTCAGCAATGAGACTAAACTCGAGGTAAGTCTTAGTAATCATCCAGTTTTCCATATCCTTTTCCTTTTATGTTTCTTATATCATGTTTTTAATTCTTGAGAGAGAGAGAGAGAGAGAGAGAGAAACCTCGAGATTTCGTCAACAGCCTTCACGACTTCTGAAGAACTTGTCTCGAGCACTTGGCCGCCCAATATGATCTCATCTAGAATTGTATGCACCTGAGATTGAACTGAAAATGAGCTCCATGGATCACTAGCATACTATCAAAGAATCTAAAAGCTTTAGCAAAGTAAACATAAAACTAATCAACCAAAAAGTGACATAGGTCATCAGCAATCAGAGTTTCACCATAAAAAGAAGCCAGAGACGTGCTACACTAAAGAATGGAGATGTTGGTTAGTAGAATGAACCAAACTTAGCACGTTTTCACTTATGAAAGATATTATGACACTATAGCATAACTGCACAAGTCAGACTCATTTCCTGGTGACTCCACTAAATTTCTTTCTTCACCAAACCATAGATGAGCTAAGCGGATAAAAAGCCCATTATACATTGGGACAAGCATGGCTGCAATGAACAACCAACTCAAAACTTTTAAAATTTGCATTTCTTGTTGAAAGGCAAGCAGTTAACGGAGACTAATTACCTTACGGTTATTGGGAGCCTAAATAGTTATGGTTATAATCAGAAGACTGATGGAAAACATTGTTATCAAATTTCTGCCATGGCGGATTACCGCACAACAAAATTGTGAAGGATGGCGATTAGTGGCGGCCATTTTCAGCCACTAATTAGAAGTATTTGATGCAAAATAGTTAAAACCGAATTTCTATGGTAATAACAAAGGAACAAAAACTAACCTTTTTAAAATTGAACACTATGTCCAGCTCACATACATTACTGAAACACTTGTCCAGTGTCTCCACGAAAACTGACACATAATCGATTTCAGAAGACAATCCCAATGCAAACCAAGTTCAAGCTAAGGAGTGAGTGACACTAGTGAATAGAAATCAAACAAATGCACACCTTGCATGAGATCTAGCATTGCAAGATCATTCTCGGCATTGTCAAATACGAAGACGAAGTACAAAGTCGCATAAGTTTTATAGACGAGCCGAACATCCTGCAAATGTATGGCACAGCATTTAAAACAATCAGAAATATTAAACCAGAAACCATCGTCACTTGCTGCCCGTAAATACTCAATTGGTAATTCATAAACCCATTACCGGCCCGAATAGTGAATCCACTTTAACGAAATTACTGACATTATCAGCTCGACTGCACAAAACTGCACAACGAATTCAAGAGTAGAACACTCAGAACTTGATTGCTATTGTACCATCACAAGATGCCGGAAAAATTAAGGATAAAAGTTCCTAAAAAGAAGATAAAGGTCAGAAACCCACTTCTGTAAATGCTTCGAACTAGCTCCTGCTGCTTCTCAACAGGCTAATTATGCAACACAATTATGAACAAATCAATCCAGATAGAAAAATTAGCTTACAATGAGATTCAAAAACTACCAAGTGAAAAACATGAGAAAAGAACAAATCTGACGACCTGAAACTGATAGAATTTGATGAGGCGAGGTTTTCCTTGATCATTCATTATTATCACTCCTCGCATCATCGTCGTCGCAGATTTGTATCCAATTCCGGTGAGTTTTTATACGAAAGTCGATCTCGGAGGAGAACGTCGCCAGAAAATTTTTGGGCTAACCTCGTTCTTCGATTCTTCGATCCCCGTCCTCGTTAAATTACTGATCTTCCATTACTAATTGCTGTGTTTATTTCGGGTACTGGGCCTCCATTTTTTACTATACTTGATTAGCGCATAGCCCGTGTTATGCACGGGACAGGAAAGATATAAGTTAACAACATAACACATATTCAATTATAATAATACATAATCGTATGGTTGTATACATATTTGGAAATATTCTATGTAAAATATCGTTCTAGGTGGACTTTTGAAAATAAAGAAAGAAATTAATTTGATTTGATTTGAAATTTATAATCCGGTTAGAATTCTGTACATAATGGGTGTATACCAAGAGTCTTATTATTTTAAAATTGTAAATTCTTCGTGCAAGGAATCTTCATTGATTTGGCGGACCAACAATAGCGTATTTGATTCAACAAATTATTTAAATTTAGGAAGGGAAAAATTGTGTACGTGTATGCAATCAATTTAACTTATGAAAATAAAAATATTTTGATCTCATATTAAATTGTGTACGTGTATGCAATCGATTTTAAATTTGATCTCATATCAAATTATTTCGAAATAAAAATATTTTGAGATTTTTAACTTGTGGAAAGAGATGAATTTTATTTGATTTCAAGTTCCTAGTCTAAATTTGATGGATTCTATTATGGAGAATTAAAGAAAATTCAACTTTTGAGAATGTTTTATGTAAGAACAATTTGATGATCAAATTTGAAATTCAAAATAAAACATTTTGAAATTTTAACTAAAGGGAAGAGATAAATTATATTTGATTTTTAAAATTCCTAATCTACATAAATTTACCTAAATTATATCTACAAAACCCATCAATTTAGGGTGCATTTAAAGTTGACTGGTTTTTTGGCAATAAATTAAAAGAAAAAATAAATTGTCGAAAATAGAATGCATTAATTGTGGGGTAACTTTTCTTGTTACTGTTTTTTGTAAATAGATTGACTATATATATAAAAAAGTTGATGACATGTATACAATGGGATTGTAAAATCCACAATAGTATTAATTTTAAAATTTGTGTACTACTGAAAAGATGATACTGCGAATATAAATAAGTGTTTATCTCGAAGTATTGAATTTTGAAATTCAGTCTTAACTTATCTTAAGATTTTAACTGATTTTAATATAGTAATTAAAATTTTAATTAACTTAAAAAAATCTTGCCTACAATATATTATTCATTTTCCAAAAGATGATAATAATTATGAGTTCTAATTTTAGAATCCATGTGAGTATTAATTTTGAGGTATGTGTACTATTCAAATTACTATTTATGTTCATTTCTTGTGAACTTCCTATTGATTTATTAATTTTATTTTATTTCCATGCAAAGTTGATCATCTCGTTTTGTTTTACCATATTTTCGTGAAAATTTGACAAAGTCAGTTGCAATTATGAAATGATTTGGATATCAACATACAATTTATAATAGAGTTTTTAAAATTGTGTACTATTAACAAATAACATATAGCGATTATTAATTTTTTTTTTTCGAAATGCACCACTATTGAGACTGAGATTTTAAAAATTATTTTATCTTCTGAAACCGAGTTTAAAAAAAAAACAATGGATTGGTAAAAAATAATTGACAAACATTACCATATTTATTATCACATGTTCCAAATATATAAATTGTCATAATTTGTGGAAAATGATATTTAAAAAATATTTGTAGCATTCAGTATATTTTTTTGAAAGGCACACATATAAAGACTGATATTCTAAAATTGTTGTTACCTTTTGGATTGAAATTTCATAAATATAGAGACCAATATTTTTATGTTGTTTGTTGTTCTTAAGAAAAAAATATAAAAACAAAACATCCATACTTAATAGATCTTAGTTAGAATTTTTAAATAATAAAATGTAATAAAGTTTGAAATTTAAAGCAACATTTAATAAAAAAAAATAATAAAAACTTGCTTTTTTGGGGCATTATAATAAATAATTTTTTTACAAAAAAATAATAAATTTTTTGTAAATAGTAATTCTTATTATTACAAATACATATATATATATATATATTATAATTTTTGTCATTATTTCTAGCCTCCGATAGGACAACTTTGTCATGCATTATAATTTTTAATATTATAGAAATATTTATTTATCTAATTTTTACATGAAATTTCAATCTGTGTATTGCGCTATATATGTAGTAGTTTTTGCACTATCAATTAACACAATTTATAGCACCATTTTTTTAGCCCCACCGTTGATTGTCAAATAAGTTAAAATTTTTTAGAATGATCTACCAACACAAATCTCATAAAAATAAAAGTATAATAGTACATGTGTTATATTATATTAGTTTTTATAACTTATATCATATAACTACTTGAAATATAAATATATTAGTTGATAAATAATTTTTTTTTCTAATTAATATTAAAAATATTTTTATTATTTTTATAAAGATAAATATAAATTATTTTTTTATACAGACAATATAGATGTTAAATCGAAACACATCAAAAGGAGATTAATCTGATATATTACTGGTGTAGATTAGGATTATTATTATTATTATTATTATTATTATTATTATTATTATTATTATTATTATTATTATTATTATTATTATTATTATTATTATTATTATTTAAT